CCCACAGTGCCTGGCCCTGCCTGCCAGGGGAGAGCGCCCCCTGCCCAGCCCCCCCGCACGCCCCACAGTGCCTGGCCCTGCCTGCCAGGGGAGAGCGCCCCCTGCCCAGCCCCCCGCAGCACAGTGCCCCCCAGCGCCCCTGGAGAAACTCACCCGCCATTTGGCTTTGGCAAAGTTCTTCTCGATCTGGGCACAGACCCCCTCCTTGAGGTTCTTTTCCGAAGCCACGTTGCCCGCAATCCTGTGGGGCCGGTGTCGAGGGGCGGCCAGGTGGGGGGAGGATGCAGGTGAGATGGGGGGAGGGGAGGTTGGGAGGATGTGTGGTGTGGATGGGGAGGGCGTGGGTGATTGTGGGGGTGCGGGGGGGGGGGGGAAGTAAAACATTGGCAGCCATTAGCCTGGGCAGTGAGGAGCCGGTTGGGGGGTGTCAGGGTAAGGCCCTGCAACACAGAGCCGCCCCCCAGCCCAGCCAGACGGCCCCGTGTACCTCCCTGCCCCCCAGCTGAGAGTGAGTGACCCCCCCCCATCAACCTCCATCCTGCCCCACGCCCACCCCCTACTCAACCCCCCACACACGATGCCCCTCCCCCACTCCACTGCCCTGCCCCCCAGGCCCTCCCCCACTCACCAGACATGTCCCAGGGCCTCCTGCGCCGTGATCCTCTGGTCCTGATCCACCTCCAGGAGCTGCGACACCAGTTTCTTGGCTGCAATGGGGGGGGGTCAGTGTGGGGTGAATGCCCCCCCATCCCGGAGTGGCAGGGACAGTGGGGGGGGGTCAGTGAGGGGTGAACGCCCCCCCATCCCGGAGTGGCAGGGACATGTGGGGAGATGAGTGAGGCAGGCTCCAGGGAGTTGGGGGATGGCAGGGTGGTGGGGGGTCTCATCAGTGGGAGAGACCTTGTCCCAGCAGGGCGGGTCGGCGCTGTGGGGGCAGTGGGGAGCTGTGGGGCACAGGGGGACTCACCGGCGGGGGAGATCTCATCCCAGTAGGGGGAGCCGGGGCGGTGGGGGGCTGTGGGGCGCTCACTGGT